CCTGTAATTCCAGCATTTTGGGGGGCGGAGGCAGGCAGATCGCGAGGTCAAGACATGGAGACCATCCTGGCCAACATGGTGAAACCCCATCTCTACTAAAAATACAAAAATTAGCTGGGCGTGGTGGCATGCACCTGTAGTCTCAGCTACTTGGGAGGCTGAGGCAGGAGAATTGCTTGAACCGGGGTGGCGGAGGTTGCAATGAGCCGAGATTGTGCCACTGCACTCCAGCCTGGCGCCTGGCGACAGAGTGAGACTCTGTCTCAAAAAAAAAAAAAAAAAGAGATCTATTTCACAGACCCATGGACAGATGTAACCCAGACTAACTGCTCTCCTGGAGGGGCAGGAAGGATGTGCATTTACGTCTTAACTCCTAGGCTGCTAGTATTCTGTTTAGAAAGGCAGCATGGCCCAAAAGAGCAAGCAAGCTGGATTCACAACTTATATCAGGATGATTTCCAAAGACAGCAAGAAACTACAGAAGAATTATCATATGATGCTGTAGTGAATATGGCCTTTTTATCCTGATACAAAACCCAAAAGCCATAAAAAAAAAAAAAGACTGATAAATTCAGTTACATGAAAAAACAAAATATGCAAGGTAAAAACTACCAAAAGCACAATCAAAAGGCACACGACAGATTAGGGAAACATTTGTGACCCATATCACAAGGAGGTAATCTCCTTCGTATGTAAAGAGCTCCCAGAAATAAAAAAGAAAAAGACCAATAACCCAATAGAAAAATGGGAGCAGACCAGAAAGAGAAAGTTTACAGAAAAGCCAATCCAAATGACTCTTGAACATTTGAAAGGCCAGGTGTGGTGGCTCACACCTGTAATCCCAGCACTTTGGAAGGCTGAGTCAGGCAGATCACATGAGGCCAGGAGTTTGAGACCAGCCTGGGCAACATGGCAAAACCCCATCTCTACTAAAAAATACAAAAAGTAGCCAAGTGTGAAAGTGCATGCTTGTAATCCCAGCTACGTGGGAGGCTGGGGTAAGAGAATCACTTGAACCTGGAAGGCAGAGGTTGCAGTGAGCCGAGATCACACATGTACACTAACCCGGGTGACAGAGTGAGACTGTCTCAAAACAAAACAAAACAATACAAAACAAAAAACCCCACAGCATTTGGAAGGAAGCTGACCACACTCATAATGAAAGAAACAAAAATTAAAACTACCATGGTATCCAGGCACAATGGGATGCACCGATAGTTCCAGCTACTTGGGAGGCTGAGGCAGGCGGATCACATGAGCCCAGGAGTTTGAGCCCAGCTTGGGTAACATAGCAAAACCCCCATCTTGAAAACAAAAACAAAACTACCATACAAAACCATTTTTACCTATCTGATTGGCAAAGATCAAAGTATTTCATAAGTTTGTGTTGGAAACAGGCAGTCACATTCCCTCCTGCAAGAATGTAAGTCAGTACAGCCCCCAGTGAAGGCAGTTTAATAATATCTAACAAAGTCGCTAAAGGACATATTTGCTTTTTGACCTACCAAATCCATTTTGAGTAATTTTTCATCATACAAACACTGTCACAAGTGTGAAATGTCATAAGCATAAGATTAGTCATTGAAGAATTATTTGTAATAACAAAAGATTGAAAAGAACATACCTATCAGTCAGGAACTGATGAAATAAATTATGATACAACCTTACAATGGAATACTACGCAGCTGTCAAAAAGCCTGATGCTACTTGAAACTAATGTCACAGGGTGTCCTGTGAAAAATCCACATGGCAGCGTCTGGAACAGATAAGGACTGAACCAGGACACAGAAAAACCAAAACTGTTGATTTCACAGAGTGGATAAATTTCACTTCTCGTTTTCAGTTTCCATTTCTATTGTCAGAGTGTTGCTTATGAGACTAAAAAAAAATGTCTGATAGGAAAAATGAATCCCGGTTCATCACATCTAAATCACATGACCTAACCAGGTACAGTAGCCCATGCCTGTGATGTCACCTACTCAGGAGGCCGAGGTGGGAGGATTGCTTAAGGCCAAGAGTTCAAGATCAGCCAGGGCAACACAGTGAGATGCTGTCTCTAAAAAAATTTAAAAACTGAGCCAGGCACAGTAGTGCGTACCTGCAGATCCAGCAACTTAGGAGGCTGAGGCAGAAGGACCTCTTGAGTTCAGGTCAAGTCTGCAGCGAGTGATGATTGTTCCACTGCACTCCAGCCTGAGAAACAAAGCAAGATTCCATCTTATTCGTTCATTCATAAATAAATTTAATTTATTAAATATTAAAAGAAATTATACATGACCTGATTTAGCCTCCTTGTGCCTCAGTTTCCTCATTTGAACAAAAGGAGAATAACAGTCGCACCCCACAGAGTTTTGAAAGGATTCATTTGGGGGTGACGTGAGCAGTGTGCTGAGCCACCCCTAGCACAAAACGCCCCAGTCTAGATGACATGTCATGTCTAGATGTCAGAAAGGGCTATGGGGTGCAGAAGTGAGAGGGCCCAGCACCTGCCCCTTCCCCTCCCCTCAATCCTGCCATGAGCCAGTAGCACTGGGGGTGAGGAGGCCCAGCCCCAACTCTGGCCTGTGAGTGTCCAGCCTCTGGGAGGCGGAGAGAGCATTGGTCAGCAACTCAGGCAGCTTTCCAGGGCCATGAGCGGCAATGTGGGCTGAGACCGCCACACAGGGTCTAGTTAGGCCTCAAGGGAGCTGCCATACCACCCAACCCAGGGGAAAGGGAGGTGTGGTGTTGATCTGAGCTGGAGGGAGCTCACAGGTGACATCCCAGGCAACGTCGGGTCCTCGGCCCAAGCCTTCCAGGCCCACTGGCAGGAGAGAGCACAGTACCCAGGCCTCAAGATGAGCTCTGCAACCTCTGAGCCCAGTTTGGAGACAAGCTAGGCCAACCACCACCTGGCTAGCCGTCTCCTCTGAGAACCTGCAGAGAACCACAAAGAGGCTGGGATGAGACCAGTCCCCCTGACTCCCCAAGGGTGGCGGGTGGGGGAGCTCTATTTCTAACCAGGGCAACTGACTCTGCAACCTTAACCTCCAAGCACAGAGCCCACCGGCTGGGAAGCAATGGAGCTAGGATTTGAACCCAGGCCTGCCACCCTTCAAGGCCCAGTGCAGATTCACTCTCTATCTCCTAAGGTGCATTCTGCCCAAAATCAGGGCCATGAAAAGCTACACACACACAGCCATACACATCCACAGCCGTTTCTGGTCACAGATGGTGCTGAGCTCAACCTTCTCCTCTTCCCCATTTAAAGATCCCCCATACACATTAGCAAATTAAAGGCTCTGACAAGTCCTGCAGGAAAGAAGTCCGGAATCAAATGCAGCGGAGCATTTCCCCATCCTTTATGTTAATGAGACTCTTTTTGTATTGAATCCCTAATGAACCTCCTTTGGGAAATGCTGATTCTGGAGTCTCCAGGACCCACCTAGGAACTCCTACCCGAAGACACCTCCCTGGGCAGCTGTGCTCTGTAGAGCCCATTGGCCTCCCTTAATTGATTACAACCTGTAAAGCTCCTTAAGGCTGGGGGCCCCCACTTACCCACCTCCACCTGACCCCAGGTTGGGCTAGCTGGGCACATGGGGGTTGCAGGTGCCAGGAGGGCCAGCCCATGCACCTGCCTGCGGTCCAAGACGCCCACCCTGAGCTTGGCCTCCCGGGTGGAGGTGAGAGGAGAGGCCTGAGTGAAAGAACCGGGCTCTCGGGTGCTCACGGTCCCAACAGTGCCCTCCCCAGGCAGTTTTCAGCTGAGAAGCATCTTGCCCCGGGGGAAAGCAAGCAGGAAAAGAGCTCCAAGTACCAACCCGGCAAATGGCTCCTGTCAAATTTCCTGCCTTTCCCAGCAATGCAGAGGAGTGACTGACCCACCTGCCTCAGTTTCCCCATCTGCCACAGGTAAGGCAGTGCAGGGAATAGAGCCATGGCCTGAATATCAGGTGATGTCAGGTACAGTTCCAGCTCTCCCTGTCACCAGCTGTGTGACTCAGGCACTTCTTCACCCTCTCTAGGCCTGACTCCTCCAGGGCAGAAAAGGCCTCCAGGATTTCTGCAGTCCCTTCCCACTCAGACCAGCAGAGAAGTCAGTCACAGAGAGATCAGTGGGAGAGGCCTCTCCCACCCAGAGCTCAGCAGGCCACCCACAGAGCGCAGTGAGGCGTCACTGCCTAGCCTGGCCTCCTGTCCCAGTGGCAAGCCTGAAGCCACCACCTGGCCCAGGGGCCCCCAGTTTGGCCTCCATGACACCAGCTCACAAGGAGCCCAGCCCCAAGCCAAGGCACTGAGACCCTCACTTCCCTGAGACTTCCTGAGAACCCGATCCAGGCCAAGGGGGCAGGAGAGACGAAGTCTGGGTAACAATACCCAGACTGCCTCGTGAAGCCGCGCCAAAAGCCCGGAAGAGCCCTTCTGCAGGGGAAGCAGCCCCACCCGGCCTCCCCAACCAACCACAGCCCCGGCTTCTGGACCTGCACCCACACGGGGGCTCGGAGTCCCTCGCCACGGCGGTCCCTGGAGCCCAAGCCCCCATTCCTGGTCACCCACTCCTTCCTTCCACAAACCCTGCCCTTATGGAGCTCTTGGGCACGGGAGGTCACCGTGATGGAGTCTCAGACCGCAAGAGCCCCCATGGTCCCCAAAACCAGGCCTCCCCACACCTACCCAGAACCCCAAAAACACCAAGCCTGGTCTCTGCTCACCCCTTGGCCAAAAAGTGTCTCCAGAGTTTCTCCTCAGGCCTCCTCCGTGGCTGCGTGATTTGGCCAATTTCAGTTCCCCAAACAAGCCCCACCCTTTCATCTACAGCTCCAGCAGCCTAAAAACACGCCCACCTCCTCACCTCCAAATGCCTTCTACCTGCCAAACTCTTGCCTGCCCTTCAGGTTCAGCCTGAGCTGCCACCTCCTCCAGGAAGGCTGCCTGGTCCCCTCCCAGGCTGGCCTCGTACCTTAGCTTCCCCAGGGCCTGCACCTCCCACAGAAGCACAGGCCACCCTGACATGTCACTACCTGGCTGCACGCCTGGCCATGCACTACAGCTCCCAGGATCTAACCCTGCCTGGTACACAGGGACATCAAACCCCATACTCCACAGACTGGGTACAGCCAGCACTGAACTGGCAGCTAAGGACTGGGCCCCAACCCTGGAGCCCCCAGTCCCATCTGCATGAGCTTTGCCTCTCAGGACTCAGTTTCTCACCTGAGCAATGGGGATGAAACCCTTCTCCCCCCTCCATGGCCTATTCTAGAAGTAAAATGACCTTATAGCTATAAAACCTCATAAAACCCCAGAACCACTGCACATGGAAAGGGGTCCATCCTAGCACAGGAAAGAGGGCGCATGTTGGCACCCCCAGTCCTCCATCCACCAAGTGCCCCTGGGTTCCTGCCTACAGCAGGTACAGGGTGAGACAGTGCTACTACGACAGATAGGCACAGGTCCCCTGTGGAGCTCATGCCGGGAGGAGGGCAGACTGTCATAAATGAGCCAAGTGAGGAAAAGGAACGGCAGGGCCGGGCAGTGGGGAAGGCGGGAAAACACGGTGGAGGGTGCGCGAGCTCTGAGATCCAATGGCAGGGTGGGAATCACAGCTCCACCTTGGAGGAGCTGTGTGACCTTGGGCATGTTCCTGAACCTCTCTGGGCCTCTGTTTCCTAACCCACAGAATCAACTGGTAACAATACCCAGTTCTCAGGGGCTTCATGTAGACATGGGCACACAGCAAGTGCCATCACCCAGGGCCATCCCAGGTGGCTCCAGACACCAGGGTGAGCTGCCTGAAAAATCATGATATAAACAGGCACTGGGACACACTTCAGTACCAGGGTCTCAGCCTCACACCTGCCTGCCCTCAAAGGGCAGCTCTGCTCTTGTACCCCTGCCCAGCAGCTGAGCCTGACAAAGGGACACAGAAGCGCTTGTCCCTGCCCCCAGGGGACGGAGCAGCGTCTCCAGGGAGTCTGGTTGTATCAAAAGAGACCGCTTCCCATCAGCACAGATCCCCCTTAACATAGCGCCTTCAGACAACTTCACAGGGTAGGGTACAGGAGATAGGGTACAGGAGACAGGCCTGAGGGCCCAGGAGCCAGAGGCACACACACAGAAAGGAGGTCTCATCCCAGCCTACACGAGTGCCCTGGACCCCTGCTCCAGTCAGGAGATTCACGGGAGGAGGGAGACCCAGACCCCTGAGAACAGCAGCGGGGCCAAGACAAGCTCACAAGGCTGGTCCCCAGTCCACACCCCTCCCGCTAGTGAGGCCAAGGGATGTGCTTGTAAATGGGGCGTGGCCTGCACCTTCAACACAGCTCCCACCAGGAAGACACACCAGCCCTGTGGCTATGGAGCTCCCTGGGACTCAGTTTTCCCATCTGTGCAGAGCAGCTGCACCCCAGGATCCTGGGCTTCTCCCTGCCTGGCTAGTCGGTAACTCCAGGAAGGAATGACTTCAGTGAGCTGCGCCTGAGGCAGTGAGACTGAGGCGTTTCAGAGGCTAGTGCCAGGCAAGCTGGCTAGTTACAGGGGTAGGAAGGGCACTCAGGAGGGCAGGAGGGGGCTGGGGCCTGGAAGACAAAGCACCCCGATCAGAGTGTCCTGGGTCCAGCAGCCTCCAGGGTTCTGGGCCCTAGAAGGCGGGTGGTGGCAACGCCCACTGTAGGTACCTTCTGCCTTCCAGAGCCATGAGCTCCTCCCCAGGGGACAGGCCTGTGTCTGAGGGTCATGGTCACTCCTTCTGCCCCGTCACCTCCAGCAGGTCCCAATGCCCTGGGAGGAGGCAAGAATGGGTGGACCCTGGGGCCAGGAAACACAGCTGGAAACTGGGGCACCTGCATCAAAGACCTCCTTTGACTCCCCTTTCCCTCAGGCCCAGTTGTGGGGTCATTCCGTCCAGTGGTCCACGGCGGGGGGAGACGGGCATAAAGCGGGGATGGAGAGAGGAGGGTACCCTGGCATCCCTAGGGCCCCAGCCACAGCAAGAGGGGGGCTCAAAGCAAGGCCAAGGGGGGGGGGCGGCCGAGTGAACAGCTCAGGAGCAGAGCCAGCTGGGCCCCCTCTTCTCCCCATGGAGGACCCCTGAAGGAGGGCCTCACCTGGGGCACACTGCCAAGCAGGGGGTGAGGGGAACACTCTAGACAGCAGGAACTGTGCGAGCCAAGGGCAGGAAAGAGGCAGGAGAGAGCCAAGCCCTGTGGGGGGTGAAAACATCAGGGGGCCTTGGCCCAGAGTGGACAATGGGGACAAGCGGCGGGAGTAGGGACGGAGGTTGGGCCTGGCAGCACCAGGTCAGGAGGGCCTCACAAGCCAGGAGAAACTGACCAGGTGGCTGTGCTGGAGAACAGGAGGACCTTCTCCCAGGCCCAAGGTCAGCCATCCACCCCATCCTAACAGAGTCTGCTCAGGTTCATCTCAGCAGCACTGGGCTGTGCTGTGCTCAGAAAATGCCTGTGAAATCGGCCCATCAAAGAGGACAGGCTGGGCCCAGCACTTTGGGAGGTCATGGTGGGAGGATCTCTTGAGCCCAGAAGGGGCTGAAGAGAGCTATATCATGCCACTGCACCCCAGCCTGGGCAACAGAGCCAGACCCTGTCAAAATTAAAAATGGGTCAGCAGGTGGCAGCAGGAAAGCACAGTCCTAAGTGTTCCAAGGAAAAAGGCCACCGAAGAGGAACGGAGCGTGGTCCCAGGCTCACCGCCCCACCGCTCTCCACCCCAACACTGGTCCCTTCTAGAAAGCCTTCCAGGCTTCTGGGGAGAGCAGGGAACGGAGGGTACTTCAGCCAAGCAGGCCTGTGCTCAGGGTTGGGCAACGCCCTAGCCATGATGTGACCAGTTGTGAGATCTGTGGGCAGCACCAGGTCAGACCAGATGCCTATGGTGAGCCAGGGACACTGTGCTACTATTCCTGATGGGGAGGGGGCCATCGGACAGATGGGGCTGGCAGGGTCCCCTGCACACACAGCTGGAGGGGCTCCAGCCACTTCGTGGCAACCTCTCAGCCTGGGCACACTAGTCTCAGGTGCCTGGAGAGCGTTTTCACCTAGCTAGCCCTCCCATTAACCTACCTGGGCACTGCTATCAGCCCCATTTTACAGATAAGGAAACTGAGGAACAGAGAGAAAGTGATTAGCCCAAGGGATGCAGGCGACGGGGGCAGGGGGGTGTGCTCCGCTCAGCCCTGCCCACCCATACCTCCCAGCCTCCTCCAGGGAGGTCCAGTCTCCCACCCAAGGCAGGACACGGCAGAGGAGGGCCTCACGACACTGACAGTGACAAACACTTCCACTTAGGTAGCTGCTCCGCTGCGCCAGGCACAGAATGTGCATCAACTTGTTTAATCTTTACAATCACCTGATGCAGGGGGTACCATTACCAACCCCATTTCACAGATGTAAGAAACAGGCTCATCTCACACGCTGATTGGGAGGAGGCAGAGTGGGGCTGAAACCGGTTCTGCCTAGAGGCAGGAGGCTGGACCCGATGACCTCTGGAAGACCCCTGCTTCTCTGGCTGGTGTTCAGATGTCGTCTCATTCTCCAGTCCCAACTAACTTCCAGCTCTTGGCTACGTGTCTTTTTTTTTTTTTTTTTTTTTTTTTTTTTTTTTTTTTTTTTTTTTTTTTTTTTTTTTTTTTTTTTTTTTTTTTTTTTTTTTTTTTTTTTTTTTTTTTTTTTTTGACAGAGTCTTGCTCTGTCACCCAGAGTGGAGTACAGTGGCATGAGGTCAGCTCACTGCATCCTCCGCCTCCTGGGCTCAAGCAATCTTCCTGCCTCAGCCTCCTGAGTAGCTGGGGCTGTAGGCATATACCACCATGCTGGCTAATATTTGGTTTTTTTGTAGAGTTGGGGTTGTGCCATGTTGCCCAGGCTGGTCTCAAACTCTTGAGCTCAAGAGTTTCAGCCTCCCAAAGAGCTGGGATTACAGGTGTGAGCCACGGTGCCTGACCGCACATGCCTTTTTTTTTTTGAGACTGAGTTTAGCTCTGTTGCCCAGGCTGAAGTGCAGTGGCAAGACCTCGGCTCACTGCAGCCTCTGCCTCCTGGGTTCAAGGGATTCTCCTGCCTCAGCCTCCCAAGTAGCTGGGACTACAGGTGCATGCTACCACGCCTGGTTAATTTTTTGTATTTTTAATAGAGTTGGGGTTTCACAGTGTTAGCCAGGATGGTCTCAGTCTCCTGACCTGATGATCTGTTCATCTTGGCCTTCTTTTTAAAAGAGGTAAATACCTCCCTCCCACCCCATGAAGGATTAGAAAGAACTGCTCGGATACAGGCACCCACTGTGACCCACTCTGCATGCTCCCTCAAAGGCCTGGAACTTTCTCCAGCGGGGCTAAGCGCTGCCCTCTCCCTGGGCAGTAGGAGAGGAAATGCTGTTGTCACCTCAGTGTGAACAAGTCCACATCTTCCTCCTCCAGGACAGCAGGAGGGAGGCGAGGGGTGGTGCTGAGGGACAGGCCACCCAGCCACCTCTATGACCCTTGCAATGACAGGGAATGGACAAACCACCCACCTCCTAGCTGAGGCTCGGCCCAATCACATGTCCAAGAAAACAGGCGAGACAGCCCACCCCAGACCCAGCCCTGCATAAGGCCTCACCCCACACTTTCCCTCCCACTGTGGGCCCCTCGAAGGCCAGGCACAGGGCAGGATGGGGGACGCCATCAGAAGAGCCCAATTCC